GTTTGCCTCCAATCTTTTAGCTAGCAAATCAGAATTCAAACTAAGTTTTTCCTGATACCATGTACTACACCTTATCCTTTTCTACCACCTATCTGCCTAGACTAGGCAGATTTATCTCAGATAAATGAAGTGTTATATTGTGAAGGTGGTTCAGACTATAAGGTCACATCACTGGCATGGTGAAAAAGACAAACTGAGAGAGGGGAAAATTAACACATATCAAAGCTCTGGGAGCTAAGAGTATTTTTTTAAATAGTTTTAAGAACAGCATGAATGAAGAATGCAGCTTTTGAGTAGGTGCAAATTACCTGCCTTGTTTACAATTTCTCTTCATCTGTACCATTACAATAACACATCTACTAATAATCTAAGGAAGTTTGGAACAATACTAGTTTTGTGATGCTTTCTCAATATACCTGTCTAAAAGGGAAAAAAAGTTTTGTAATACACAAGAACTCTGTGAGGCATGAATCCCAGATCTGCTGTGCGGCACCTGGGATATCTGCAGTTTCAGAATCATTGTGGTTAGAGCTGGACAGGTACTTGGATATTCTTTATTCCAGACTCCAAACCCAGGTATTCTGACTCTAAATCCTTGGTACTTTCCACTATATCATACTGCCCATCAATGTGTTTTATGAAATTTTCAAAAATTCCTTATCATCAAATTTTATCTTAATTTATTTTCATTTAAAAAGTGTGTGACTGACCTTGATGTAATTGAAATAGGAAAAGATACTGTGAAAAATAAGATTCCATGACTCCACAAAGTTTGGGAACCATCAAATCATAGAATGTCAAAGCCAGGGGGAACCTCAGATATCATCTGATCCCCATCCTCACATCTTTGTCCACCTTATGAAAGAGGAAACTGGAACTGATTCCCATATCAATTTTACTTACCCAAGGTCTCATGGTCCAGACTAAAGAGTCAGAAATGACTTTAAACCCTTATCTAGTTTTCCTTCTAAATCTGTGTTTTGTTTTGAAGTATGTTATATTTTCTTTCAGACCTAATATCAAAATCCTTATCAATCAGTTCTGAACTACCTACTTATTATGTCCTTTCCTATATGTCAATTAAGTATAAATATTGTAGATATAATTTTTCTTAGAATCCTGATGTGATTTCTGAATTGGTATAAATTATAAGGATGAAAGTCCTCTCTCTTATAATTTCCTTGTAAGAAACTAAAAGTGGATGGCAGTTGAAACACTTGATTTACCTGGGTTTGGTACATCAGCTGTACTAAAGTCATGAAAACCTGACAACTACAGCCTGCTATGTTTTGGTTCAGCTGGTGTCCTCCTGTTTCATTGCCTTTACAAGCTATTAAGCTATTGTTGGGGGTAGTGTTTTATATTTTTTGGCTGATTTCAAAAGAACAAAGTTTTACTTTTTTTTGTTTTTTGGTTACCCCTCCATTCTCAAGAAGGTGAAATCTCTTGAAACAGATTTAAAAAAAACATTGGTTAGACATTTTGCTGTGTAAGAAATGAAGATTCTTTTTTTCCTCTCTCTGATTTTGTTTCTTCTATGAAATGAAGTGGTTGAACTATAAGCCTGTACAAATCCTAAGGTCTTTGATTCCTTCTTCAGATACCATTAACAATAGAAATAATCAGCTGCCTCAAATACATCACTGCTGCCTAGGATGCTGTTTTCTTTTGGAGAAGCTATTTCGTATTGGTTTTAATGGTGGCTGCTTTATTCTTTGTTCACTTGCTCCTGGTGGAATTTAACTGCTAAGTATCACTGACCATTGTTCCTAATTGAGATCCTTTGGTGTTTTGGCAGAAACTTAGCAAGTTGATAAAAGAAAAGATAAGGAAAATTGTCACTGAAGGACCTGCCTCCTGTTTCTTTTCTCTCCCCTATACTCCTATCTATAATATATGGGAATGGTTTTTACCTCTTCTATAGAAAACTAAATTTTTCTTCCCATCATATTGAGAAAACTAACTCTTTTCTCCATTCCCTCAAATAACTAGGGTTTGCAGATGGTATAGTGTAAACTTTTTTATTTCCTCTACAGTTGTCTGTTGATTGAGCTCAGAAATGTATGAAAATCTGATTTATAAACTAGTTTTAAAAAGTAGAATAATGAGTGAGTGAATGTTAGCCTTTCTACTGCACCTATTTATGCAGTATTCTTTAAGATCTTAGTAATGGCTCAGAAGTTTAACAGTGAAGAGCTGACTTAAGAAATTTAGGTTATGGACAATCTTAATGATATTTTTTGTTTTTTTTCCTGTTGTGTTATTCTCAATTCTGATAATTTTGTGAAGATAAAATGTTTTATAGGCTACAATCAAGACTGTAAGAGGAGGTGTCCATTTCTAGGTAATGAATAATAAACTTTCAAGGCTAGTCATGGGGTGATGAGCTAGGCTTATTTTTCCCTACTTTCCCCATCTCCTTCATTATTTGCTTTTCTTAATACCCTCCCCCAGCCACTAATAATGCTCTAAAATCCCAAAACATAGGTATATAGAAGCAACAAATAGCGCCTGGTATGCCCACCAACCATTGCTCTTGAATATGTGAGAAGTAAGGAAAATGGTAAAATATGTCCAGTAGACATCTGAGATGGAACACTTTCTGTACATAAAGGAAAAGCTCAGAAGCTATCATGTTAATTTGATCCTATGACATGTACACCATACTTCATGGGAATTGGGTGTCCTGAAGAGACAAAATTTGGGTTCTCTTTTTACTCAAGGAAGCTCTGGGAGAGCCAGAAACCATGCTGTGAGTTTCACTATCCATGGTTATTTTGACTACAAATTTTCCTCAGTAATCATTTACAAGATATCTTTTATTTCTCTGGTGTGACCTTTGGCAGACCAAAGACCTGTTTAGAATTCATTTGTGTCTAAGCAAAATGGAAAGTGTACAGGAAAGTCTGATCACCTCTTATCTCTATAAATCCTCAAACTTAAATAATTTCTCCAGGATTATAACATTGAGCGGAGTCTTCAGTTTTATTTTCCCTTCTTCAAAATAGGTTTGAAGAATACTTTTTTCTTACAGAAGTCACATCACTACCACTTGTGGAAATTTCTAAAGATTTCATCCATAGGGAGAGGTAGGATGGGAAAATCAATTCTACCTTACCTCCTTAGTGCTCTATCAGTTGTCCAAACCCCAAATTTTCTAGTAACTAGAAAGTCTTCTATAAGAAACTAAGATTTTTTTAATCATCACTTTTATCTGTTAAATATCCTCACAACAAGGTAGAATGGAGTTAGACAAGATTGAGTATTGTTCTGATTTTTCATTTGTTTCATGTGTTGTGTTCAAAATGTTGATTAACTATTAGCTAGTCATCTGGTAATGAGACTCTAGGCACTTAGCTAGGCTAGTACTCAAATATCAGACACAGTCTATCATCAGGTCTGTATTCAAAAACCTTTTATAGGACCTGACATGGTTTATACTTCCATGACAATTTCTTATGAGGTATGGTCACCTTGATACTATCAGAGGATCCAATTTTTGGAAGAAAATAGAAAGTGCTATGACAAATTGTGGTAAAGCTCTCTTCCTCCCATGTAAAGAATAAGTAAATATGGATACTAATTCAAAATCTGTAGATATTTAAAATATTTTAAGTTTTTAAAAACTATTTCATAAACTACTTTAATCAAAGGTAGACTTTTCTAACTATGATTTAACTAAAATAAATAATGCTTCCTAATTAATTTTAGTTTATATTTGAAATTATGATGCCCCAAAATAATCTGTGACTGAAAAAAAAACTTGCCTCAACAGAAGTGGTTGTCTTCAATTCCATTATACAAACTAGCTTTTATTAGTTTTCTATTGCTTGATATTCTCATTAAAATAATTATTTGAAGTATTTATAATATTTCATTTATTCAACATATATATAGACACACACACATATATATGTATATACTGAGTTCTTACTCTGTAAAAAACTCAGTTGTACATGCTGAGTAAACCAAAAAGATGAATAAGAAATAACCCTAGATCTACAGTCTTCATGGGGAAATAAGACAATTATATTGCCCCCTTTCATATTCAAGAATCACACTACAAATAGTCATTATTGAACTGGATTGTCATCAAAAGTATCTGAAATTAGTCTTTTCAATGGTAAAACATGAATGGTGAAGATGATCTTCATTTCAGCAATGAAAAAAAAGGCACCTTATCCTTTTTTCATAGACTGTGTATTTCTAGATAATCTTATTCAGAAAGATGCTTTTAAATTACCAAAGGAGGAACCAATATATTCTACTAGTTTTGTTGTATAGACACTTTGTTTTCAGATCCCATAATCTATGTGTGAGGATTTTCCCCCTCTATAAGGAAATAATTTTGGTACTTATTTAGTGTCTTTATTGTAATGATTTGAAATGTCTCATCAAGTTGAAGGGTTCAATGTGATTATCAGAATTTCTCTTTGCATTTTCTGTGGTAAATATCTGTTGTACCATCATCTTCTTTTATGATTATGTGGAATACAATATCCACTGTATAAAATGCTTTTAGTGGGAAAAATAATAACTCTACAAAATACTAATCAACACAACAATATTTTTAGAGATAGATACATACAGCAGACCAAGTCTTGAAGGCTTTCAATTATTTTGGCTTCCTTTCCTCACTTACCCCTGTCCATCCTCTCCCCTGGATATTACCTCTTCTTCCTCCCCCTGCACCACCACATCATCAAATTCTTTCATTTGTACCTCTTTGTACCTCTACCAGCACCTTCTCTTCCCTTCTATCTAATACCCCTCTTACAGTTTTTTCAATAAAAGCATATAAGTATCACTCAAAATTTGAGAATAACTGAATTTTAAAGACCTTTGAAGAAATAATTTCATTTCCTGCTTTAGTATAATTGATATGGTCTAATAATCATAATTATGTAAAATATTATTTTTGGATTGTAGACCTATTTCATATATGTGGCTCTTTCCGAACTGATGGACTGTGATTACTGATTTTCATTTATTCTGTACAGGCACCATCATCACCTTCCTCGCCCATAGCTAACGAACCAAAATATGAGAAGCGCTGGCTAGACACCTTATCAGTTCCTCTCTCTATGGCTCGAATCTCAAGGTACAAAGCTGGAACAGATAAATTAAGGTGTGTAATCATCATCTCAAAAGGGAAGAGTTAATGAATTGCATTTAATTTTTATGACAAACATACATAAAAATTTATTTACAACATCCACTTATTTCATTTAATTAGTATACAATTTCATGCTTACTATATTTTGTTATTGTTTTACATGTTCCAGAAAAAATTCAATAATGATTTCTTGTATTCAGGAAAACCACTAAGGGAAAAATGAAAATGTAGTAAATAGAGGGCCAGCCAAAATGTTGATGAGAAAATTTCTTTATATCTTGTGATCGCCTGGCTCATGTCATCTATACCTACTGGAAAAGAAAACACCATTTCTCAGTTTAGCATGTTGAAAGATAGTTGGTTTAGAAGTGAATAGACTTGTTTTCTAGTAGCAGAACTAGTTGTGTGACCTGGAAATCTCTAAAATGGGGAAGGGGACATTGATTTTCTACTCTATGAGGTGAAGGAGCTGGACTTGATGATCTCTAAGATATATTCTAGATTTAATAATCTGTGGGTTGGTGTGATTGCTGGAGTTGAGGGAGGTTCAATTATTGTATTACTTTTGTTATTACTTTGGATACTTTGGATGCTTTTTTGATTTTTCAATAATCCAAGTATGGCTACTTCCTTAAATTACAAAAGTCTCAATCCCTGCATAACTTAGTACATGATTTCCATGAATTGCTCTGGCCAGTCTATTAATGATAAACCTCAGTTTAAAGATTGACAGTATCTCACTGGGCCCATATGTGAAGCCTTTGTCGACAGTTAGAACCTGCCAGAGTTTGTCTTCTACTGACAGACATACTGTTTGAGTACCCAAGGTCAAATCCATGTCTGTGAGGTATTAGAGAAGGGTTCAGTAAAAGGATCTGTATTTAGGTTTCATTTGACTGAGTTATTGGCTGATAGGTAGAATATGTTACCTCTTCCTGGGTATAATAGTAGAGAATTTCTTCTTCATGTAACTAAGAAAAAAATACAAAAAAAAATTTTCAGAGTCCACAGCTATGCTGACTGTTGGTCACAGGGGAATAATTTTCTCTTCCATGAAGATAAGCTCAACTTTTGAAGTAAGAATACAAACAGAAAAAGCAAAAAATATTTTCCCCAGGATGCAGCCTCTCTCACAGGAGAAAGACTCAGTCTAGTGATATATTCCATTTCTGCTCATATTCTTAGAATTAGAGTACACATGATGCTTGGAATGAATTGGCAAGAGGCAAATAGATCATACAGTGCATAGAATGCTGAATCCAGTGTCAAGAAACACAGAGTTTGAATCATGCCCCAGAAATTAATTAGCTGAATAATCCTGGACAAGACACCTAATTTCCTTCAGACTTAGTTTCCTCCTTTATAAAATGAGATTAGTAATAATAGCACCTACATCACAAGGTTGTTGTGATGATCAAATAAGATAACTATGTAATTCTTTTTACAAATATTAAAAATGTGTTTAATTGATAGTTATTCTTATTATTGTTGTATTTTCATGATGTCCATAACAGAAAGTGAAGGGAAATAAATTATTTCAGTATAGATTTTTATATGTAAGGCCATCTAACAGAAAGACTTCTTTTCTTATACATATGTACATATATGAGTATTTTGTCTTTCTTTTGGTAAATAGAATAATACATAAAGATAGATATAATATAGCATTCATCATTTATAGCCACTAGAAATTAAACCTTGATTTCTAAAATTTATAATGAGACCTTAGAATCAAGACACCTGAATTCAGTCCCTAGCTCTTTCCCTAACTAGACATTAGACTTGGTGAAGCTACTTGAATTCATCTCTTAAATTGGGGGTAGGACGGAGCAAGTAAGGTATTTGTTTACCAAAATCCCTCACATGTATAATCTACCTTTTAGTTATATCAAATAGCAATCATTCAGTAATAATTTATAGTGCCCTCTGTGCCAAGCTCTATGCTAGGCTCTTAAGTATAAAAATACAAAAATAAGTTTATATTTTAATGGAGAGAAAGCAAGTACATCTATAAGTATATACAGAATAAATATAAAGTAAGTCAATTCAAGGTAGTTACATACAAATGTTTAGGGAAGGGGAGGAGACTAGAAGTTGGGGCAGTCAGGAAAGTTGTCATGTAAAAGGTGGTGCTTGAACTGAAACTTAAAAGAAGAGAGAGATTTTTATAAAGGGTCAGGGAACAGACAATCTATTCAAGGCATGATAAATAAACAATGCAAAGGTGCGGAAATGGGAGATTGATATTCCTTTACAAGAGGTAGCAAGAAAGCCAGTTTGGCTGGATCATAGAATATGGGAGGAAGAATAGCAGACAATGAGGCTGGAAAAATAGAATGAGAAAGAGGCCCTATGCTAATTGCTTTACAAATATTGTCTCATTTCATCCTCACTACAACCCTAGGAGGTAGGGGCTATTATTATCCCCATTTTATAGCTGAGGAAACTGAGGCAGACAATTTGTGACTTGCTCAAGGTCATACACCAAGTAAATGTCTGAGATCAGAGTTTAACTAGGGTCCTCTTGACTCTATGCCCAAAGTTCTATCCACTGCACCTCTTTGCTGTCTCTAAATAGATTGTGACTAAGTCATGAAGGCCTTAAAAACCTAAACTGAGGAGATTATATTTTATCCCACATACAAATAGAAGCCACTAGATTTGATTGAGAAAATAAGTGACATAGTTATATTTACTTTTAAGAAAAATCACTTTGTAAGCTGTGGAGAGGTTAGACAATAAGAAGAGAAATTTTGAAACAAGGAGGACAATTAGAGAAATATTTTGATAATCTAATTGAGAAATGATGAAGGATGGCTTGAACTAAGATGGTGGCTCTGTGCACAGGGAGACACATTTAGATATTTGAAATATTATGGCAATAGAATTGATAAGATTTGGCAATAGATTGGACCTGTATGATGAGGGAAAGTGAGGAGTCAATCAGTCACCTAGCATTTATTAAGTGCCCACTACGTGCCAGCTAAGTTGGAAGAGAAGAAAGGGATGAAAAAGAAAAAAGGGAGCATGGGAGTGAAGAAGGAGCAAGAATTAATGCTAACTGAAGTAAAAGAGCTTTGTATATTTTAAAGTACAAAATAATAGTGCTTTAGATACAAATTTGGAGATAGAAAAAAATAAACATGTCTGCTCTCAAGTTGCTTATAGTCTAATGGGGAAAATAGCATGCAAACAATGTTGAGATTATGAACCTGAAAGAAATAGTGAACTTCAGAAGATGGGATGAGTTGGGGGAGGAAGAGAATGAGTTATGTTCTGGCCATATTGACTTCAGGATGTATAAAGGCATCCAAACAGAAATGCCCAATAGGCAATAGGTGGTGTGGCCACTGAAGTTCAGAGAAAAAATAGGGGCTCAATACACAGATCTGTTAGTTACTCCCATAAAGATGATGATTAAACCCATTGGAGCTAATGAAATCACATATATAAGAGTGTAGAGAGGGCCCAGGACAAGTCTTAGAGAGCATGCATAGTTAGAGGGCATGATATGAATGATGAGCTAGCAAAGTAGCCTGAGGATGACTAATCAGACAGGTAAGAGTAGAACCTAGAAAGAGGAGAAGCATAAAAGCAGAGAGAGAAAAGACTATCTTGGAGGAGGAGGGTGGTAAGCAATGTCAAATGCTGTTGGAATGTCAACATAAGGACTGACAAAATACCATAAGATTTGGCAATTAAGAGATTATCTCTGAAGAGAGCAGTCAAATGACTGATGAAGTTGGAAGGGATTCAAGAGCAGAAGGCCATGTGAGGTTCATTTGGTTAACAGTTGGGTCCACAATGAAAAGGAAGAAAGTGAAGTTAGATGGGCTTTTGTGGCCAAAGTACTGAAGAGTGGCGGGATTATCATAGGTCATGATGAGAAGCTCTGAAGGGTCATAGCAGGTGTGATGCACATGGAGAAATGGCATTCAGCTAGACAGTACAAGGGGATAGAGTGCTGAACCAGGAGTCAAGAAGACCTAAGTTCCCACTTAGCTTCAGCTACTTACTAGCTGTGGGGCCCTGGGAAAGTCATTTAACCTCTGCCTGCCTCATTTTGTTCATATGTAAAATGGAGATGATAGCACCTATCTCCCAGGGTCATTGGGAGGAGACAAAAATGAAAAAAAAAATCTGTAAAGTGCTTTGAAAACCTTAAAGAATTATATAAAATCTAATTATTTTTAATTTATCATTGAAATTTAAGGCCAAATAAAATATCTGAGTTTTTTTTTTTTAATAAGGAAGGCAGAGTTCATTTTTGGATAAGATAAGTGCAAAAAAAATTAGATTTAATATGATATCAAACATAGTGAGTGATTGAAAATTTCCCTATGATAAATGTAATAACTAACAGTTATAGAGGCCTCTAAAATCTGCAAGGCTCTTTTTATGTAGCATCTTTTCTGACCCTCACAACATCCTGTAAGGTTAGTGATGTTATTACCCCCATTTTAGAGGAACTGAGGCTGAAAAGAGGTTAAGTGATACACCCAGTGTCAAATGTCTCAGAAGTATCTGAGGTAGCATTTGATGTCAGGTCTTTCTGACTACAAGTCCAGCACAATATGTACTATACTACCTTGTGGTATTTGATTAAATATGTTATTACCTGATAAACCTCTGAGCTAGTCTAGTGCTCCAAAAATGAAGATGAAAGAATGTAGAACTTGTGTGGTATATGAATGTAATGGAATACTATTGTACGATAAGAAATGATAAGCAAGCTGACTTCAGAAAAACCTGGAAAGACTTGTATAGACTGATGCTCAGTGAAGTGAGCAGAACCAGGAGAATGTTGTACACAGTAACAGCCACATTATGGGATGACTACCTTTGATAGACTTAGCTCTTCTCAGCAATTCAAGAATCTAAGACATCTCCAAAAGTCTCATGACGGAAAATGCTATCCACATCCACAGAAAGAACTATGGAGTTTGAATGATGATTGAAGCATACTATTTGCTCTTTTTTTCTTCTGTTTTATTGTTTCTTCTTTCTTGTGG